CACATGATATATCGACTTGGAACCAATATCGAGTCCATGACTAGTATCGCTCTTGATGCTATATCTGTGCTCCCTCGTGGTTATCACGGCCATTTGTTCGGTGACTGGCTGAAATCTACCGTTGTCAAGAAAACGCCACAGGCAGCCGCTCAAATCTTGGAGATGATGCTCAAGCGAGGTTACAGACCAGAAACGTTCCACTACAACATGTTTCTCAGAGCGTTGATACGGACGAAAGAGGAGGCGAATATCCTGAAAGCGGAAAATATTGGTTGGCGCATGGTCGAAGCCGCTTGCGAAGCTGGTCGACGTGACGTTACTCCAGAAACAATACCAGCCATCATCGACAAAAAAATCGCCGAGGCTCCTCCTACATCTGACGAAACGACCCAACGAGCTCCGGTTGCTGACGTAACAACGTTTGCCTTGATTATGCAACACCATGCCAACAGCCTGCAATGGGAACACGTCGATTACTTGTCCCGACAGCTCAAAGCAGCGAAAGTCAAGCCCAATGCTACCATCATGAATGTCCTTATGGATAATAAATGCCGACAAGGTGCCTACAGCGAAGCATGGAAGATCTACAAGTCTCTCACTGAGCCGCAAGAAGGAAGCAACGGCGTCTTCCCAGACGGTGCAAGCATACGCTGTCTTTGGAAAACGCTCCGATTAGCACTTGGCGACTCTACCGTTCAAAACAAGCTCGATTTGCCTAGCCCTCGTGAGCTACTAGCAGAGACGGTAAACTGGTGGACGCTCTGTCGCAGTCGCTACGACGCCGATCGTTTCCGCATGGGTCTCGCAGGCAGAGACAGTGGAGCAATCACGTCGCTCATCATGCACTGCTTTAGTTACAATCGAGATCTGGCTGGCTCGTTGGTCGCTCTGCACGTCCTTCGTCAACGCTTCCACATCTTTCCCACCGACGAATCAGCGCAAATTTTGCAAAGACAGATGGCCTGGGTAGACTTGGCAGATGAGTCTGCGGCTGTGCGTGGTCAATACTTCCACAGCCGTTCCAATAAGAAAAACACGGACCGTATAGCGGCGGTCTACGACATTCTGCTGCAGCGACGATTGTCAAGAACAGGTTTGAAGGAAGGCGATTTTGAGAAATTGACGGACGAACAGATTGGGGATATGGGATTGAATTTGTTGAGCGAATTCATAAGAGTGGTGCTCAAGAGGTACCACCCACCCGAAGTTGTAGAGATGATGATTGATGTGACAAGGAGTGTAGTGGGTGTACCTGATCTGCCCACCGGGGACATGGATGCATTTGAAGTGGCTTGAATGAAGTGCAATCGCAGGACTGGACGATGATTCATATGTTAAGACGATACTATAGCCATTCAATCCCCATATATGAATATCTTCATCAACAATCGATAAACAATAACGCTGCTCTTTGTGCAAACCACAGCGTTATGAATACGATCCAACTCATGCCATGTAGTACAGTGCTCGACAGAATTGATATTTGACCGCAACGGCAACACCAAGACATGCCTCTTTGTAGACTTCGACATCATATGCCGTCCACTCTTCTAGCTGAAGGATGGACAGTCGAGGCACCGTTCCGCTCCCTGTATGCCGTTCAGGAGTCCTGACACCAATAGAGATAGTGATCTTCCTCAAACCCGGCAGTACTATGGGTAACTTAAGATTTGTGGCGTCCCGGGGCCGAAATTCTGCTTCTCTGAACTTACCGGGCATCCAACCTTCCCTTACAGAATACGACAGTTTGTATATGCATGGAAACACTAGATGTGTGATTGCATGCCGTTGAGGGAACGAGCGGTGTACAAGCCACTGGCTGACGAATGCATACTGAGAGCCGTTGATGATAAAGGTGCCAAATTTGAAGTACAGGAGCGCCATCTCGTTGTGCATCTGTTTACAGGCCTGCGTAGTCTGAAGGACGCGCTGGAGTCCTTCAAAATAATGTTTGTGGATCCTTGGACCGTCATCTGGGAATAGACTTGCATTCGAATTTAATTTCCAATCTTGGCATAGCGCGTACTCATAGATTCGATTTCGAAGTTCTCTAGGTAGACGTAGGAGTGGCGAGTTTTCTCTATTCAGTGTTGTACTGATGCGTCCGTTAATTGAGAATTTGATAGGCATTCGGTTGTCAATGCTTATATCTCTTTGGCTTCGGCTCTACATCGTGATTTCATGTGAATTTCCTTGGTCGTATCATGAAGTATTGATTTGTCTTCCTCACGAGGGCGAATTGGCAGATAAGCGACAGAAGATACCATGACGCAGACGAATAAATATTTTGCAAGTTGTGTTCTGGATAACAGATTGGAATGAGCACATGTACACTAGAGAGGTTGCATACTGATGCAAGAGACGTAAAGAGCATAAATTTGGGAGAAGCTGGAGCCTTTCAACACTCTCTCAGCTGCTGCCTAATATATTGCGCAGCTACGGACGCTTCACATGGAGAACAGCCTTGTGATAAACTGCGTTGGTCTGTAGCCACTGTTTGCAATCACTCAAAATTAAGAGTGGTATATCATAATCGAGTCGAGTTGGTGATTGGAGCTTGAGTTTCGACTCTCGTTGTATAAGTCGTTTTTTGTGCATTGACATGATTGGTTGTACCTGCGGGTAAGCGAAACATGGGGCTCTTCGATCGAGCATTCCGCGGCGTCGATCGATGACGCTCTAACAACCCGATGTCCACAACGCGCACCGAACGCGGTTAAAGTTGATAGTTGCTTACTCGACGATGACGCTCACTGTGGTCCCGGCGGCTGAGACGCGATCATGGAAATTCTTTGGGCGTGCTGTGTTTTCGGACCACGACCACATTCACTCCTTGTGTCAACACGATCATGTCTCCACAGGGCGAGCGCGCACCGTTGCTACAACAGCGATGGAGTGAAGAAGGCGAGCCGCGAACAGTCAGTCATCCTGCACGCGCTTTCTGTCGATAGTGTTTACTAACTACTGACAGCATCTTCGCATCGAGGACCTTTCCAACGACGAAAACCCACGAACATGGGCGCGATGGCGGAAGATGGCCAACGTGGCTGTCATAGCCCTCATGTCCAGTACATACTCTCGCTCGCCTATACATGCCTTTACTGACAACCATGGCAGTTCTCAGCCCCCTCGTGTCCTCCATGTTCACGCCCGGCATTGCGCAAATCGCCGATGACCTCAAGTGTAGCACGATTGCCGTTATTGGAACAACAACTGGCTTCGTAGTCATGCTCGGAATCGGCCCCTTGATCCTCGCTCCCTTGTCCGAGACGTTTGGACGTAGAAGAATCTACCTCGTGTGCTTCTCCGTGTTCGCTTTACTACAGATACCCGCTGCACTCGCGCCCAACATCGCCTTCCTCATCACAGTACGGAGCATTGCAGGTTTCTTTGGGAGCGTCGGCATAGCGAATGGCGGAGGAACCATAAGTGATATGTTCATACCAAGTGAACGAGCAGGAGTATTTGGCTGGTATCTACTAGGCCCGTTACTTGGACCTACCCTAGGACCATTGTTTGGTGGCATCATCGTACAGCGCTTGGGCTGGCGCTGGGTCTTCTGGATCATGACCATCGTGTGCTTCGTCAACACCTTGGCTGGTTACTTCTTCCTTCGAGAGACTTATGCGCCGTTGATTCTGAGTTCCAAGAAGGCCGAGTTTGAGTCTCAGAGCTCCGAGTTCGACGGCACGAAATACTCCTACGAGGGCGAAGATACACGACCGTTGAAAGAAAAGCTTACCCAAGCTCTCAAACGCCCACCCAAGATCTTCGCTCAACCTATCGTGGCCGTCATGGCTGTATATCAAGCGCTCATCTTCGGCACAACCTACAGCATCTACACAAACATGCAGCCAATTTACCAAGACGATTACGGTTTCTCCACCGAGAAGGTCGGGCTGCTATATCTAGGCCCCGGCCTTGGTTTTCTTTTCGCTGTCTGGTTTCTGGTCCCGCGAATCGATACCGTATACAAGAATCTCACAGCCAAGAATCACGAAAAGGCACGACCCGAGTTTCGCCTCCCGCTCGCGAACATTGGCTCTGTTTTCATTCCCGTTTCGCTCTTTTGGTTCGCTTGGACTGTAGAGAAGCACGCGCACTGGCTCGCATCTATATCAGCAACCTTCTTCTATGGCATCGGACAGGTCATGATCCTGAATAGCACGCAAAACTACTTCATCGACAGCTTCGAGAAGTACGCGGCCAGCGCAATCGCTGCTGGTACTGTTTTCCGCAGCGTTGTCGGTGGTGTCATCCCAATCTTTGCGCCCATGCTCTTCGAGAAGCTAGGGTATGGTTGGGGCATCAGCACGTTTGCGTTTGTCAGTTTGGTTCTTGCACCCGCTCCAATCTTGTTCTTTATCTTTGGCGAGAGGCTTCGGGAACGGTTCCCGGTCGATTTGTAAAGCCTTTTCGTGTGGGTATCATATTCTTGTTCGTAGTGTAACTGCTGTATCTGTTTAAATGAACTTTAATTGGTCAATTCTAAATGACCTTCCTCTTGTAGCTCTTACCTAGTTTCACGGCTCATCAGCATGTCTGCTGCCCAAGACATCTATGCCCTACCTAACGACAACAGGCAATAAAGCGAGATACGAGCATACATTAAAGCCAAGTTGATGCAAAAACTGCCCATTGGTGGTATCTGGCAGCTACAGTAACTCTGAAGCCTTGAAAGCCATTCGCTGATCAGTCTCACTTGCAGAGTGCACAGTGCCTCAGGAATCCGTGCACCATGAACATCCTCGTTTTTCAACCCAAAATTGAAGAAATATTGATTCGTCTATACAGTATGCCCTGTATTCACACACCTCAGAGCTCACGAGGCGGGTAGTACCATGGAGGTAGCACGCTTCTTGGCAATCATCTCGCAACCGGGCTAACGTCCTACACATCTCGTGTAGTTTCGACTCGGAGAGTGTATATAAGGCTCTGATAGTACAGTTCCGATGATGATCACCGTTAGTCCCAAGTGAATTGCCTGAAGTCTTCTAAGGATGCATCTTGTCCTATTTATCACTACTTTGCTCACCGTCACGGCTACTTCTATCGCAGCCCCTACCGATAATCCCGCCGAAACCACCACCAGCATTTCTATCAAGGCTGACACTGATCTCTATTCTCAGGCTTGTCCTGGTAGGCAAATTTACCACTGGCAGGGTGGAGGTTGTGAGACCGACTGGGGGAACGATTGTTATAATCGTTGTAAAAATGTTGCCGCATCCAAACGTTGCTGCATGAGAACAGTTGGTTGGTATCAGGATGGTGGAGGATGTTTGAGTCCCTGGGAGACTTGCGAGTGCACTTGTAAACGTTAGGCAGGTATGAATCTGCCCCACCAGAACTGTGCGAAGTCATGGCTACCATGATCGGTGTTTAGGATGGCTTGCTGACTCTTCAATTGTAGTACAGCTATATCGTGGTTCGTGCGCTGCCATAGGATTTCTACGGTGCTTGCATATTGGTTGGCTGTGTTGTGTGGCAGACGGTGGATGAGTTACTCAAGTTCTCGCTTGAATTGGCTATTCAGGGCAAAGGAGGTTTAGATCTCGGTGATGACCATCGCGTTCTGGTTTCAATCAAGGGTTATTGGATCAATGATCATATAGACTGGTTTACAGCACAAACATGTCTGTCCATTACATATCACCTTTATAAGTGACTCGTGTAGGCGCGATTTCTTTTCTCAACCGAGACACAAAATCGTCTAGAGCATCCGCAGTTCCCTTGTCAGTACCTAGACTTTCACCACGGCCCGAAGTCCACCAGATGCCAACATTTACTTTTGCTGGCAGCCACTTCGCTTCTTGCAAAGCCATCATAATATGAGACTCGTAGTCCCTCTGATATGCTTGGGCAATGCGCTCCTCCCTACCCATACTGTGCGCCTGTGCACGGCGATGTCTATCCGCAAATCGCAGACGGTTACCACGACGGCCCAGGACCTCCGCAGTATCAAGTCCCAGATCAAGCTCTTCCAGGGCAGAGAAGTGTTCTAAGAGACGGAGGGAACGCTGCATGTCGTCAAGGAGCTGCAGAGACCTCGCTTGTGAGCTGGCGAAAAGTGCCACCATATTCGCTGGATGCAAAAGTACGCGCTCAATGCTGAAGTAGGGTAAAGTGATTCGTTTGACAAGCTTCCTGTTCTTGAGTCCAATTTTTCGGAAGAATTCCCGTATAACAAAGCGTATGGATTCTGAATCGTTGTGAAGAAAGAAGTTGAAGCGACCAAAGCAGTATGTGAGAACTTCGGCGTGAAAGGTACGGCTGACAAACGCCAAACCTCGGATGTTTTTGAGGCCCCGTAACTTATAACCGCCACTGGGTTGCTGTTGGACAGTCATCTTAATGATTTGGCTTCGGAAGTCCTGCACTAGAACACAATGATATATCTGCTGGCGAATTTCGAGCGGTAGTCTGAGAAAGCCAGGGGCGGTAGTGGTGACGTTCGCCATCGTTGGTGACGTTCTGGATGTTCGAACGTCTGAATCAAGCATGAATAGTCGTTCGTGTCTGGAAATGGTTTCGAGAGGGATCTGCTTAAAGAATCGATTGGGATAACAAGAGTCCGATGTGGTAGTATAGGAAGTTTCATCTCAGGCTGCGGAAAGGGTCCGAGGTTAGCGCTGCGCGGCGTAGTCATCCCGCAAAGAGCCCACCACCTCTTCTGCACTATGTTATCACTCCAATCTCCCTCTGGTTGTACCTACATCCTCAGTATCGCTAGAAGGGCTTGTAGGGATTCGCACCGCCTGTTTTGCGGTTCACTGTATCAAAAAGAAAAAAGAAACATCCCTCATAAGAGGATTATTTCTTCTTGCTCTAGAAGAGTATATTAAGAGCTGTGTAGATATAGATAGAAAACCTAAAAGACTTGCATTATATGCTAATAAGAGATCTTACAAAGATCAATAACATTAAACTGTAAGGTAGAGCTTGTTATTCCTGTATCTGTCTGGATTTTTTCTTGTACGAGGTAGCTTCTCAGCCCGCAACATCCATGCTACATCGAAATTGCGTTCCACCGAAGGAAGATTACATGCTTCCACAGACCCACAACATGCCATGGTATGACGGCTCAACATACTGCGCACACGCCAAAGCTTGTTTCAATATGGTATTGCTATTTGTTGTAAGTAGATTAAACACTAAAAACTACCTCCAAGCCACCTTTGCTATCGACTTGCAGTAAACATAGTATGGACAGAACCAAGAGGGATGCAAGACATATTCGCGTAACGTAGCCTATACATCATTGACAAAAGAGCTACGAACTACATCAATGACACTCTACAAAGAGACGTCAATGGACAGAGAGAGACCTGAAGCGTCGATGATAGCATCAACGCAGCCGAAGTTTTGCTCAACGTCAAGGTTGCCAGGCTCCTTCCAGCCGTCGTTCTGGTAAGAGAACAGGCAAGCCTCGGATCCGACCTTCTCCATGATCTTCTTCATAGCAGTCTTCTGCTGCTCAACACCAGCGACAGCCTTTCCGTTAGACTGGCCAGCGCTGGGCCAGCCGATCTCGGTGATGTACTTGCCCTTGGAGGCAGCCTCGGGGCAAACCTTGGCAGCCTGCTCGAGTTGTTGGGCAGCGAAGTCACCGGCCTCCTCAGCGGAGACGGACTGGGTGAAGTAGGGGTGGACCTGGACAGTGAAGACATCGATGTGGTCGCAGAGAGCAGCACCGTGCTCCTCCCAGGAGCCAACAGTCTCAGTGGTGGTGACAGCAACGCCCTCGTAGCCGGAGCTGACGAGTTGCTCACGGACGTAGTCGATGTAAGAACCAAGCTCGTTAACGTCGCAGTTACCGTTGAAGACACATTCGTTTCCGACAATGACCATGGCGACGGAGTCCTTGGGGGCGTTGTCGGTGATGTCCTTGAGCTGGTCGTTGGCGTAAGTGGAGAAAGGACCCCTGCCGCCCTTGCCACCGGCCTCAAGGAAGATACCGTAGATGACCTTCAATCCGTACTTCTGGCACTCAGGAACAACGTGCTCGAAGACACCGCAGTCAGTGCTGTAGGAGCGGATAGTGGTGAATCCGAGCTCAGAGATCTTCTTGATGTCGGTGGCGATCTCATCGGCGGTCTTGCAGTCACCAGAGTTAGCGTAAGGGGTGTATGTAATGGCCCACTTGTCGCCGTTGGTCTTGATGTGGTCACCCTGGTTGTAGCTGCCAGTGGGCTTGGGCTTCTCTACCTCCTTGGTGGAGCTAGGGGTTGGCTTGGGCTTCTCGGCTGAAGAGGCAGGGGCAGAGGGAGTGTAGGCAGGCTTGGAAGCCTCGGGAACCTCCGGAACGGCAGGCTTGGAGGATTCAGGAACCGAAGGGGAAGCGGGCTTAGACTCCTGGGGGACGGAAGGGTAAGCAGGCTTGGACTCCTGGGGAACGGAGGGGCATGCGGGCTGAGTAACCTCAGGTACGGTAGGGTAAGCAGGCTTGGACTCCTCCGGGACGGGCGCTGGGCCAGTGGGCTTGCCCTCCTCCTCAGTGCAGGTGGTGGACTCTGGGACAGCAGGCTTAGATGCCTCTGGGACCTCGGGAACGGCAGGCTTGGACACCTCGGGAACAGAGGGCTTGGATGCCTCAGGAGTACCGGCAGGGTAGGTTGGCTTGGGAGCCTCCATGGAAGAAGTCTTTCCCTCCTCCTCAGTGCAGGTGGTGGACGACTCTGGGACAGCGGGAACCGCTGGCTTGGTGGACTCGGGCACTGCGGGGTAGCCAGGTGCAGAAGACATTGGCACCTCGGGGTACGCGGGCATGGAGGACTCGGGCACAGCTGGGTAAGCGGGCTTGGAGGACTCAGGGACCGCAGGGTACGCGGGCATGGAAGTTCCAGGGACTACGGGAGCAGGGTTGGAAGGCTTGGGGGCCTCTCCGGTCGAAGCCGGGACGTTAGGAGTAGGAACGACGATTGAAGTCTTTCCCTCCTCAGTGCACGAAGTCTCTGGGACAGTAGGTGGGACAGCCATGGTGCTGTTGGGGGCCATGGAGGGCACTGAGTCCTGTTAGTGAATGTACTCAACGGACCACGGCTTCTCTTCGTTCACTGCTTCTTTCCAATGTTGGGTATCACATACTTGCGGTCACAGTGACGGTGTGGGTGATTATTTCGCAAGACTCCTCGGCGGCGTATCCACCATTGCGGCGCATGTGGAATCCAGCGTGAGCCTTGTGCTGCGCGGCCACAACTGACCCAACAAGGGCAGCTGCAACGAAAGAGTAACGCATCCTGAACTTGTTTACGTGGTATAGGGGTGTCTAGGGGTAGTAGGGTCGTCTGCTGAACGAGTGAAGCAGGTAATATTAAGTAAATAGATAATGAGTGACGGGGCACAAAGGCCGAAGGTTCTTGTCAACGAGGCTGGTGATGCGTAACTTGAAAGCCTTGCGTAAAGAGAAAAAGGAAGAAATCTTGGGGAACACAGCGGTTTTCATGCATGTGCCGTGGCCTGTGAGCAGCAGTTAGTGGAGAACTGCCTCCAAGGCGTTAGGTTAGGGGTCCTGGAAATTGCCCTGATCATTGTTGTACAAGAACGGCATGGACGCCATCCTACGGCTCTATTGAGATCGTGATGTGCTCCGAGCGGAAATGAGTCTGGGGTATAATTGTCGTGTTAGGTCGAAGGTGGGTCTAGTCTAAAGTCAGATGAGGTTAGTCGTCTCTTCACCCTGAACTGCCGTCCCGAGCAAACGAGTGCGTCACAGCAACAAACACCACGCCAATTCCTCGCATCAGCAGTGCCGTGAGGCGTGTGAACTTTATCGCAGCAATGCCACTTGCTGTGCGTTTCTTAGCTGCCATGTGCTCGACCTCACTTCCGGTAAGGCGCACCTCGTATCGCTAATTGCGGTCCACCGATGCTCCCATCTTCATCAAAACCACGGCAACGCGCATATCAGCAATCACAAGCAGCAATCGCGAACGGCTAATCTTTGTGCAGCTCACAGCGGAGCCATGGCCGCAGCGTGCGCCACCATGCAGGTACAGAACGACTTGTGCAGGGTTATACCTGCGGGACGTTCTTTAATTGGCCGAAAGACCCGTCGAAGAGTTGGGGTGGGCGCTGGATGTTGGTGTGTGCCCCTTTCCTGTCACGATTCAAGGGAACGGCCGGCGCGTTAAAAACGCTTCCACCGCTATTGATGGACATCACTAAACTCTCCGCTCGACGATGCCGGACCATCGGAAGACAAGTATCCGCAAGCTGCTAAACTTAGGTGTAAGGAATTCGGTGATTTTGTACGCATCAATACGATGAGTATCTCAACTTTGCGTGCGATGTTCCGACGCAATTACGGTAGCGCGTATTTCGTTGTCGGCTACCGCTACCAAGCGCTGCTGAGAACCTTGGATGTCTGGTCAGCATTGGCGACACAGATGGTTGCCGAAGGAGCGGACAGCAAGTCAGGCGACCACTTTGTACCCGCGCTGATTGAGCACATTTGATGCCTAGCATGAAGGAAGGACTCGCCTATCAGCGATTGACGAAGCTAGCATGCGTAGCAACCAACACGTTGTATCTCTCACATCTTGGGCTCAGTTTTCCCCTCTCCTGAAAGCTACATCGAAAGCTGAGATGTCTACAGATACATCCATGCCTTTGAAGTCCACAACCAGGGGTCTCTAGTGAATGTGCATTGTTGTGCTATGAATTGCAAAGAAGGTATTGCAGCCCTAGTTCCAACGATCATCTCTCCTCTTTCGTCTTGGACCACTTGTACACCGCCTACCATCTTTACCGGCTATTATCCTGTTGTTGCCCGTAGTAGTGCGCCTTCATCACATCCGCAAAATGCTGACTTCCGTATTCACTGAAGTGTCCTTCCTTTCCTTTAGCTGTCTTGATTGCCGCCTTCGTCGAGCGTGGGAACATCTCTTCCTCATAGTCCTTCAAACCGTCATCAAGACTCTTCTCCCTACGGCATACTTTGGCAATCTCTTGAGCCAGAACCTGCGCATCCTTCATACCCACATTGACTCCTTCGCCGGCAAATGGTGTAAACACATGCGCAGCGTCCCCGATGAGGGTGACGCCTGAGCGAGGAGACCATCGGAAACCGACAGGTAGTTCGTACAAAGCACGAGCGACTGGGCTTTCTGTAGAGGAAAAGATGACCCGCTTGAGGTCATCGTGTATGTGGGAGAAGTAGCGGTCAACGTACGTCTTGAGTGCTCTCTCCCGGTCATTCCAGTCGATGCCGCAGGTTTCCAGGAAGTCCTCTGGCACACGCAACGAGGCGTAGGTCCGTAAGCTACCGTCGCCCTGCCGTTGAGACTGCACTGCGCAATCCTTACCAAAAGCCATCATCGACCCTTCTCCCGCATATTTTAGTAGCCAGGGATTGGCCTTGACGTCGTTGCACGTTAATGCCACAGACGATATGCCCGAGTACTCCGGCATCTTATCAGTGAGAAGCTTCCGTACCCTGGACCACGCACCGTCTCCTCCAACCACGAGATCGAACCCAAGCTCTTTCGTACCGTCTGCGAAATGCAAATCGTACTTCCCTTCTCCTTCAGCAGACGGCACAGCCTCTCTTAGCTTCCTTCCAAACTTCACAGATCCCTCCTTCAGATTCTCAAACATCAACGTCGCCAATGCCATTCGATCAATCTCAGGTCTTCCGTCAAACTTTTCCTCCTCCTTAACGTCCTGCTTGTCATCTTCATTCTCATCCCAGAGCACCTCTCCGTTCAAAGTCACAATCTTGATCACATCACATTCTGGACGCGCATGTTTAACAAATTGCTCCCATAGCCCTGCTTCTTTGATAGCGAATTGGCCGGACTCGGGGTGGAGGTCTAGCGAGCCGCCTTGTGTGCGGAGTTCAGGCGAGGATTCGAAGATGCTGAAGGGGATGAGGTGCTTTTGGAGGATGTTGGCGAGGATTAGAGAGGCAGGACCAGCACCCACAATGCCGATTTTGAGTTGGTCAGGTATGGCGGCTGACGGCATGGCTGGTCAGGGGCTATAAAAGTCTCTGGATGGTATTTCAATAATTTTGAGCTGATGCGCGCCGTTTTTCGGGTAGGAGCTGTCGTTTAATGAGGCAGGCAATAATCGGAGGCCTAGGGAAGATGGATAGGAGTATTGGGGTGACTTTGTGATCCAAGATCTGATATGTTCAATATAATGACTTCAAGTCTTGTAATAAGTACTTCTGCTCATACTTTGCTGCCTAGGCCAGTATCACGTTGTCCAGATGCCTACTCAGTCTCGGGCCCTTCTACGGCGCGACGAATCTGACATCTCGGGCCCGACACCACAGGAAAAGACCGAAATACCCGTAAGGGATGCGTCGAAAGCCACACGCCAGAGATAGGGCTTCACAACACGGATGCATGTTTTTCGAATTTGCACACGCTGTGCAACATCGGATAGGCTAGCGTTCTGCACCACCGGCGCGAGGGTCGGCCGAGATCAACGTGGTTCGACCCTCGTATACTCGTTCGCGCAAATCCTAGTGGTTTATGGTAGCACACCTTATTTGCATTAAGCTTCAAGCCAAGAGACGTTGAATGAATGATACGATCGGCGCAACAAGCTGTCACACTGTATACAATCAGGCATCAAAATCATGCTGTCTTTATTTTTTTTCCACCCAAACGAGTTTCAAAGACTTATCGTCTCACCACTGACATGATCGTATTCCTTTTTTTGATCGATCACCACAACTCCGGAAAGTACTTTCATCAGTTCTACGATGAGTCGAGGCGACAACGCTGTCATGTATCACACAGAGGTAGACGGTGCGCAGAGCTAAGTTTTGGACATGTAGAAATCGCCCAGCCCATACTGGGTACACGTGACATGTGCCGTGTGTTACGTCGTGTTATTGGAACGTGCTGTTGGGACCACAATTTTTGACACCCAACGTGCGATAAGACCCTGGCAGCTTGCGAATCCAGAACCCGGCACGTCATCGCAATGCGATGATCATCCCAAACCCAGCCCTCCTCCGCCTTTACCAAAACCGGGTCTCCTGTTAGCCAGGGCAATGTTATGGACCGTGTTTCCAACCCTTACTTTGACGGCATCAAAAGCAGCTTCTGGCGCCTGGATGAATTTACTGGTGTCGATATGCTGAACCAGAGTCGTCCACTCGGTATCGGGCTCAGCCAAGTTCCAAGCTATGCTGACGTGGAAATATTGCGAATAATCATGGCTGTGAGGCTCATTCTTGTCGACCTCGTTCTTGTCGACCTTCCTCCGCTTCGGACCGTCGTTAGAGTCGTGGCTTTCCATCGGACCGTCTCCCACTCCGCCTGTATACAGACCTGGATGGCCACTATACTGGGTCGCGTCGTTACATGCCTGCAGTAGGCGGTTAAGTTCATTCAGTTTCGACTGCTTGATGCCAAGGACCAGAAACCATCGATTGCGCTCAAAATTGGGTACCCACTTCAAACTCTGAAACTCAAAGTTGAAAGTCCGCACAGCGCATCGCCGCACAGCAACGCTCATTGTTTTGAGAAATGGTTCCCTGTCATCAGTGTTGATCTGCAGGGTTCGCGACAAGGACACATGAAGAGGTAGCGATGCACCCAACTCTGACTGAAGAGACGGTATGATCTCTGGTACGGGTAGCTTCTTTGTTCGCTTTGCATTCTGGAGAGCAATCGATTCTCTCACATGCTGTAGCAGGCTGTGAAGAGCATCGGATTCAGGCTGTGTAGGTATCCCTCGAACGCGTTAGTCTATATCATCCACGTTGATGTTGAATTGGTCCGGGTATCCTTACACTCTAAGTAAACATGACTAGGCCATTTGCCCTCGACATGAGGTACAGCCCGCTTGCGTCCGCCGTGTAGGCTTGGGTTGTCGCTAGTGCTGACACGCGCATTTGTCGCATAAAGGTCGTGAAAGGCTGACGGAAGGGGTGGCAGAGCGTTGCTCGACTCGCTGTGCTTGCGCTTCGACGTAGATTTGGCGGCAGCTTGTGCCGCCTGGGCGTCTACATCAAGGCTCTTATCATCATCATCCGAGGCGGAATCTGGATAATCCACCAGGGACATGGTGGGCTGGATCGCGTTGGTGAGGGATCATCGCAGCTGTCGTCACTCGTGGAGAGCACCAAGCGGCCGCCCCACTCCCAGCCTAGCGCATCCGCATGACGTATGGCTGCGATTGGGCCGCTCTTTTCAACAAGAGCGGACAAGAAGAAATCTGACGCAGGGCCGCGACTGCGAACCGATGACATGTACGCGTCCACGGTACCTGCCAAGT